CAATTTATGGGCTTAGATTTCAAAGCCTCAGATGCCGATGGACAAAAGGATTGATTGCAATACAATTGCACCCCCCTTCCCCCTTTTTTTGTTGAATTTGGGAGAAATTTATTATTATGTTTTAATTTTGAGAAATTGTTTGGTTTTGGTTTGAATTGGGTGTTGGCATAGAAAAGTGGATTTAGTTAATTTCAATTTTTCTTCTATAATTTGAGATTTGATTGTAGGTTCAGGTTGGTTAGTTTATGATGTCATAGTATCGAATTCTTTTCTTGTGATAATTCAAATAAGGTTTATTCTTCTTAGTCCGACACTGCATCAAATGCTTCATTAAGTTAGTCCAACTTAGTCTATTCTAAGCCAGTTTAGTCCTTGAAGCTAGTCCAGTCCGAGATAGTCCGGTGCAACAAATGCACCCTATATGGACTCAAACAGGCTTCCAGAAACTAGTTTTCCACTTTTTCAGTCACCATTCAGAAAGTTGGTTATCAACAATCAAAAGCTGATTATTCTCTTTTTACAAAGGCCCAAGGTATCTCATTCATTGCAGTCCTCATCTATGTAGACGACATACTTCTTACAGGAAATGATCTTAAAGAGATGGAACGACTCGAAACATTCATTCTCACACACTTCCGCATCAAAGATCTTGGTGATTTAAAATATTTTTTGGGCATTGAGTTTTCTCATTCTAAGAAAGGCATATTTATGTCTCATAGGAAATATGCACTAGATGTTTTGCAGGATTATGGTCTTACAGGGACACACCCAGACAAGTTTCCAATGGAACAAAATTTGAAACTCACTCCCACCAACGGAGCATTATTAGATGATCCCACCAGGTACAGAAGACGAGTCGGACGATTGATTTATCTTACTGTCACCAAGCCTAACATAGTATTTTCAGTTCGCACATTGAGTCAATTCATGCACGAGCCTCGCAAACCTCATTGGGATGCAACTTTACGAATTCTCAAGTACATTAAACGTAGTCCTAGTCAAGGTTTTTTATTTCCTGTCTCCAACAATCTTGAATTAAAGGCTTTTTGTGATTCCGATTGGGGCGGTTGTCGTGTCACAAGAAGGTCAATTACTGGGTATTGTGTCTTTCTTGGAAATTCCCTCATCTCATGGAAATCCAAGAAACAAGATAATGTCTCTCTATCATCTGTAGAAGCCGAACACTGAGCTATGGCCAACACATGTTTAGAGTTAACATGGTTACGTTATATATTGCAAGATTTAAAGGTTCCACAAAAAGGTCCCACACCATTATTTTGAGACAATCAAGCTGCTCTATATATTGCAACTAATCCTATTTTTCATGAGTGAACGAAACATATTGAAATTGATTGTCACATCGTTTGAGAAAAATTGCAAGCTTGAATGATTAGTCGTTCACATGTACCTACACGTTTCCAGTTAGTAGATTTATTCACAAAGGCTTTAGGGAAAAATCAATGAATGAAATTGCGCGACAAGTTGGAACTTCATGATATTCACTCTCCAACTTGAGGAGGAGTATTAAGAAAAGTTTGTGTAATATATTGTATAATATGTTTTCCTAAAAGTAGCTGTTGTGAAATCCCATTAAAAGAGGGATGTGATCTCCTAGGCATTATTGTAAAGATATTTAGTTGACTTCGTTGTGTATATATATTGTATTGTACTTCTACTTTGGCAATAATACACGAAAACTATTCAGCTTATCATTTTCCATAGTCCTGCAATATACTATTCATTCTTTTAATAAAAACCACAATTGCCGATATCCACCAGCTAATTCTATTCATTCACAGCCAAAATTCCACAACCTTTATTTAGCAACCTAATCGATTACTACTAAAATTACTGAAAATGGGACTCAGAAATTTCCAAATGCGATGTCTGAAACCCACATTCACTTGCGTACATATTTTTATTATATACACTAGGTTGGAGTGCAAAAGACATTTTCAAAGTGCTAAATACACTACTTTTAATCAAACTATTAAACTTTTCCTTAATTATGATTTTTCGTCAAGTTACTAATCTCTTCCTTTTTTTTGGTGGTTTTCTTCGAGTTATCAAAAGTAATGCCACCAAGCTGTAATAACATTAAATTTTAACTCTAATAAACTTTTCTTAGTCATGGAGGTATTATGTATATTAATTATTAATGAACCATGCGAAAATTGAATGCATTTCACCATATTTTTCTCGACATTAGTTTGTCAGAGAAATCGATCAATTATTGGATTTACACAGGATGATCAAATATGATAAATATCTCCTTTATGTAAATGGTAAAAGACTCTCGAACTTACTGAGTATAATCGGAACGAACAACTGAACCAAACAATTAATTTCTAAATACTCACATTCAAGAAAGAAAACAACGAAAGGAAAATAGAATGATTACCAAATCAGATAGTTGAAATTATCAGCATTAAGTGAATTACGCAAACAAATGATCAGTATAATGAAAATCTAAAAGAAATAACAAAATTCATCATTTAATCTAAGAGGGAAAAAAAAGAGAGAGGGAGAGAGAGAATAGAAGAATTGCAAACCTCATGATTTTGGAGAGAAAGAAACTTAAAAAAGAGAGATAGAGTAAGCATGACAAATGATATAGGGATATTTGCGGGGAAAGGGATCCGGAATATATTTGTGAGGAAAGGGATGTTTCCGGATCCCATCGTCCTAATCTGCCAAATCAAGAAATTTGTGTCATTGAAAATTGATCAAACGGCTGAAGTTATTATAACTTTTAAAGTGAGCCCCTGTTTGTAGCCGTTAGATCAAATTTCAATAACACGAATTCCCTAATTTGGTAGATCAGGAGAAAGGGATGCTGAGATGATCCCTTTCTATTTGTGGGGAGTCCTCCCCTTCCTTCCCCACCTCTTGATTCCTCCTGCCTTTTTCCCTTCTTTCTTTTATTTTATTATTATCTATTTATTTATAAATTCTATCTATTATTATTAAACTTACCCCTTATTCTTAAAATTATTAAAATATCCTTAACTTTAGTGTTTCTTAACTTTCTCTTTCTAATTTCAATTTTTGTTCAGCTTGCTTCATGTGTTCGTATTAACGAGTAACATACATGTTCCGACTACAAAGTCAACACAAATACACACATACCACTAGAGTAGTTTGGTAATTTTCCACATTGAGAATTTAAAATATGATACTTCATGAACGGGTTGTTACAACAAAAGTCAACATTTACCCTTCCATTGACATTTTGGTCATTTCACATTTTACGAAAATTAAACATATTAAAATTAAGGACATGTTGCAACATTAAGAGTCTTAGAATTTTCTTTTTCCATTATACAGTTACTTAATGGAATGATACTATAAGAAATGGTGCTTAAATTCTCCTTCAAATATTCCAAGTAGTCCTCCTCCTCCTTCAAATATTCCAAGTAGTCATCATTCGAATATTCCGGATAGTTCACAAAAAAGTGAGGCCACTGAGTTTGATGAAATATTGGCTAATCTTCATGTAGACCCTAGATATAGACTTCGAATGCTTAATTATCCACCTTCTTATCGCAAAGCAATTCATAAACACTATCTTCAAAATGATCTTTGTCAACCTAAAGACCACATCATGCTAAGAAAAGCTAGCAACAATCGATGTTTTACCACCGGTTAGTTTGATAATTTTAAGTGTTTGGATTATAGTATAATAAAAGTTGCTACATTTGGTTGTTATTGCTATCTTTTCAAATGTGCTTTTGATAAAGCGGGTAGTACTGGAAGTGATGTCTTCACTAAGAAAAGGTTTACAAATTGGAAGAAATGACCTGAAAATTTTCTAGTTCATGAGGGAGGTGTTGGAAGTCTTCATAATAAATCTTTACAACAAGCTAGAGATTTGAGGACACAAAAGCAACACATTAAAACATTTGTGATTAAGCAAATCAATGAAGCTCGCATTAATTATCACACTTTATTAAGTGGAGCACTTGATTGCACAAGATGGTTGTTGCTACAAGGTATGCTTTTTTATGGGCACGATGAATCGTTGAAATCAAGCAATAGAGGTAATAATGTGAAGCTTCAGTGGAGAGTTTTTCTGCTATGAAAATTGTGAAAACACCATTGCGTAACAAAATGGGAGATCAATGGATGAGTGATAGCTTGATTGTTTACATTAAGAGAAATGTATTTGCTTTTATTGATAATGAGTCTATTATGCAATATTTTCATGACATGAAACCTTACGAGCAACAATTGTAATTTGTTTGTATTGATAAATTAGGGAAAACATTACTATATAAAAGGATTTAGTTGTTGCCATTGTTTTTAACCTTTTTTAAGTTCGCCCCTCCCTCCGACAATGCCTGGTTTCGCCACTGAACCCACTCCCCTTTCCCCCCCCCCTTAATCTAGATACTATCGTTAGGTAAAAAATAAATAAAAAATAAAAAATAAATAAAAGAGGTTTGTCCTCAACTCTTTTTTAAAGATATCATTCATTCTCAATTTTCTTTTCTTTTTTATACTAACTATAATTATATATATTTTTTAGGCTATATGATAGTTGGTTTTCGTATAATATTAAAAATTGATACAAACATCAAACAAAACATTTTAGATAAAACTCAATAGGTCCTCAATCTAAAGAGACTTTAGCATAACATAAAAGGCCAACTTAGCCAAACTAATTGTCATTGTACTAGTGGACTTAAGGGCAAGACAGGTCCGAAAATAAGCAAAAGAATGCATCCAAGTCTTGAAATCATCCAAATCCAAATCCATAAAGCCCCTCCAAATTCTTATTATATTTAGACTTCTAGAAAAATGCGTGTTCCATCTAAACATTGTTATAACACAAAAGCCTCTAGAAATTTTATGCATTATTAGGTTTTAGCTGTCTTGAGTATTTTTGTCTCTCTTACTATGCTTGGTTTATTTTAGAGGTGTGCAAAACTTTGATTCGTATATGCACTTTGCACACTAGATGTGGGGCAAATAAAGTTTGAAAAATAACGTAGTTATTACTCGGCTTGAAGCAGTCATTCATCTCCCATCATAACAATAACCCGTGTATTACAATTTCTCGAACAAATAATTGTAGGTACTCAAATTGTTGCAATCTTGGTTACATCATCATTATTCATTTCTGTCTAGCAACCATTCAAAAGCATTGCCGCACAAGCATGAGGTTGTTTTCAGTTGTTTTCAGTTGTTTTCAATTGTATCAATCGCACCTAATGCCTTTAAGATTACCTGTACTTTTCATCTGCAGATGAAACCATAAGAAAGATCTTACCCTGTTTTATGGACATCAATTATATATAACGCAAACGTTTTAATTCATCGGAAATTTTTGGGAGTTCAGGTGATTTTTCAAAGGGATTTTGTACTACCTCTAAAGCTAGCTACTGGTACAATAGATTGTAAGCTGGTAAATCATGTATTCTTTGAGTATCTTCTAAAGACAACTCTCTTTCCAACTGTGTCCTTGTTGCTTGTAGAACCTCCTGAAGGATTGAAAGCAGAAACGAAGGGTTAGTGATTGGAGAGCTGATCAGAAGAAACAAGCCAACGTGACCTAAGTTTAACTAGAAGCTGTGATGCAGTGAACGTTCAACTCTAATAGTTAAGAGTGTGAAATTATCAAGTTGTGTCTTCAAAGATAAGATAAGAAACAAGTGAACAAATGTAAACCATCCTTAACTTACGAACACATTTTAAAATAAATAGATGAGTTGTGCGCGTTTTGGGATAGTGGAAGGATATCTTGTTAAGAAGTTATTACAAACGAGGAGAATATGTGGAATTTAAGGCATGATTTCTAGGACTTGGAACATTAGGAAATTGTGTGCGTGTGCTTGTGTCAATGTGCATGTTTGCGTACGTGCATGTGTAGAGCGAGAGAGTTACATTAAACTGCATGTAGGACGCATGCATTGCGAGCCACTGAGCATCAACCATTTCGAAAGCTATACAGTACAGTACATCAAAGGCGGCTTCATCTTCTGCAAGCAAATCATAATTCATGAGGGTCGTCAGTAACCTGTTGTTTTTTAGCTGTTCTCTAACTCTTTAAGACGTTCGATCTGTAACCAAACAGAAGACATTTGAGCATAACCTTGTCTGAGATGTACATTTACCTCCTAATAGTTTCACGAAATTTATTCCTGGAAGACACCTTGGTTTTTCTGCAAAGTAGATGAGGAGACGAGGAAGATTCAAGAACAATTAGCTTTCCTTTTGTAAATTTTTGTGTGAAACAGATGGTAGAGATATTGAAACTATCGCTTCAAGAAAGAAGCTGATTTCAATTTAATGTGAGAGTTAAACATGATAGGAAAAGCTATACATGGTACTTCTTTACAAACCTGAGCAAAGATCCAGCATTTTGATCAACATAAATGATATATTTATGCCAGCAACAGCAAATGGGTATTCCCAAGTTGCTCGATTCCCGTCTCGCTTGAACAATAACCTACGGAAAGATGCCTTCATTTTGAATTTATATGATTAGTAAGCTAAAGACACAGAAAAAGAAGATATGATTATTTGCAGCAGCTACACAACAGTCAAGAAGGCATACTGGATAAATCCTGGCGAAAAAAAGCAAGTTCTCGAGGGAGATAAAACCGCAGCCCCTGAAGAGAGCATTTCACTATAAGAGAATAAACTGTGGAATTGCAATAGTACAGTCTAGTAAGATGAAGTCATTCAAATTCACACTGTCATACAAACTTTGTGTCAATTGGACAAAATGGTACCTGAAGTCAGTAGAGGGGTTACAACCTTGCCAACCCATCTCTTTCCATTGCTCGGAGATCAGACCTCGCAGAGCAACATCTGGAAAGGCAGCATGCCACAATGCTTTCAAGGCTTCCTGAGGTTAAATGGAATAACAGTCTTATTCATTCAATGATATAGAACCAAATAGCTAATGAAAAGGGGTTTAGGCTTCCTGAAGCATACTGGTAACAAGACAAGATTTAAATCCTGTACTTCAATTGAAGTTTCCGCATGAAAAAACTAAATTGCAATCAAATGGTGCAGTCATGATAGCAAGTTGTTTCTCTAGCAGACACAAATCACAGATAATGAAATAAACAATGAACGATCATCAAAATCTATCGTAACTTATTTTAACCAAATTAAACCAAGACAAATGGACCAGAGTAATAATAAGAAAATGTTTAGAACCAGCATGAAGAATATACTTGATGATCAGGGCGATTCTCGTCAAAAGGTACTTGTAGTCGTGCTTGAAGCCTCAAAAGTCTCTGTTCCTGTACATAGAAGTTGAGAATTATAACTATACAAGTTTTTAGGAGTTGGCAGGAGAACACCACAACTGTATACCTGAAGAGGACTCAAAGAGTAGTCATCTGGCTTCTCATTACGTTTGTTACTTGAGCGGGTAAATAGTCCTGTCCATGATCGTGGTCCAACCATAGCATTAACTACAACGACTAAAAACTCGTTAGTGAGATAAGAAATTTTGAACAGAGTGTAATAGGATCATAGGTGCACATTTTATTATAAACTTTTGGTAGTTTAACAAGAACATGATCAGTGTAGCACTGGTCCCGGTGTATACAAGGGATATTACAATTCGAGAGAGATTTGCTTCAAGCCGTCAAAATGCATCCGATATAACAGATGAAATGTGTGCACGAACTAAAGGTGTTCTGTTCCTCATTTCCTAGTAAATGCCGTCACCATAGTTATTGAGAGAAAAATACATGAGACACAACGTTCCTCTGTTGGGAGCCAAAAGATGAATTGAATGGAAGAGAAATACTCTACTCACTAAAACATTGAGCTAACTGCGGTTTGACATGAGTTGAATTGTGTGGCCATTCCAACTCTTCATCGCACTTTTTCCGTCTCCTATAATTCTCATCCTCATCAACCTACATTTGGTGGCATTTCAATACTTATAAATTGTTGCGGATAACACACGATAGCATAGAAAAGGTTTCAAATTATGGACCGATCCATTTACCTCTAGTCTAATTCCATAACATCAAACATTTAGAAGCTAACATAGAATGCAGAGCACACAGACGAAAAGCAAATTCTAACTCCTTACAAAAGTGTGGCAAACACAACACAAAAATAAGAGCCTTCAACTGATACAAACACTTTCTGAGGAAAAGTAAAACAAGGTAGCAGATAGACAATCTAGCATCAAATTGCAAAAAAATGAATTCAGATTACCAGCAAGTCTATCATGAATCATTAGAAGGCTCTAAGTAAATATCAATGAGAAAAATTCAAGTAACATGAATCTTCGGTACACAAACAGAATACAAGAGAGATGGGACTAATTAAGAGCTTACTTTGCGAAGGGAAGAGCAAGAAGGAAAGCATTGTATACGCTTCCTTAATCTCATGAGGAGGCCAAAATCCAGAGAGAGGAAGAGAAAGAGAGCATCTTTCACCCTCCTTAACCGAAAGCAAAAAGGCGAAAAACAAAAAGGATTGGGAAAAGAAATTTGTGGCAAAGGCAAAATGATTGCACCCAACAACTCATGCTCAGTATTCTCCTATAATTCAACCTCGCCTCTTTTTTTTTGTTTTGAGAAAACCTCGACAGTACAAATGAGAACCTTATTGATATCGAAAAAAATTACACCTAATCAGGACGATAAAAACCAAATCTCTCATAATAAAAAAGAAAAAAGAAAAAAAATACATAAACAAGAAAAGAGATATAAACCTTACCCCAATAATTCAACCTCACAATTATTCAACTTTTCCTTTTTTTTTTTTTCTACCCCAAATCACTATGGAAAGACACAGAAAGTCAAGGAATGAAATAATGGCATAATTGCATGGTGCCCCAAAAGCTATGAAGATGGGAACTTTTTACAGGGAAAAGATTAATTGCACATTTAAAGGGCTTCCTTTTTCATAATTTATGATCAAATATTGAAACTTTTCTGAACTTTTCTGAATAGGTGAGGTGGGTACCCAAGCACTCATAGTATTGACATACAAGACAAATATTGCATTGCAACATACAATACAGAGAGAGAGAGAGAGAGAGAGAGAGAGAGAGTACCTGCTATGGCATCTGAGGAGACATGTTGGCGGTGGAGGTTCTGTTGAAGATGATGGTGTCACGGCGGGGCCCACTGGAAGAAAGTGGTGGTCGTGGTCGTGGGAGCATGAATGATACAGAAGGAAGAGGAGGAGGAGGAGGAGGAAGAAGAATGACATTATCCCTTTTTTGTTTTTTTAGAATCAACAGTTTTGCATTTTCAAAAAAAAGCATTGTTTTGTTTTGGGAAGTTTTGTCTCAATCTGTCAGTGGCACTCAAACCAGTCAATTTCCTGCATACCAGCCTAGATATTAGCTCTTCCTCCGGTGCTTCTCTTTTGGCCTTGGCGGGTTTGTTCTGTTCCTTGTGGCCTCGCACGAGCCAAAATACGTTACTTTGAGAAGGGTTTATATGTACCAACCAACATTATTCCGCTCAGATAAATAAATATGACGGTACGAACTATATATATACATAGGAGGCTTTTAAGGGGACAAAATTAGTTGTGGAGTCTTATCACATCGAACTTCAACGATTTGAATCGTCTATTTTTCAAATTGGACCTCATAAATCATTCTTCAAAATATTAGCCAAATTGAAAATATTTGAGACATTTAATTGAGTTCAAACAAATTGACAAACACTTTGTTCTACAAGAAACGTTCTACAAGAAACAATGAAATTTCATCGTGATGATTAAATAGGCAAATGGTTTCAGATTAAATTGAATTTTTGCAAAGATGATCTATATGATTCTAGACTTACAAAATAGACAGTTTGGATCGTTGAAGTTCAACGTGAAGTAAGGCCTACAACTAGTCCCCATTTTTACCCAAAAAATAGAGATCCCTTCTGATAAAGGGCTTGTATGTACATATATGTATTGAGTTTGATATCTAGTAATGGTGTAATTTTGGCCCTTGGTTTCTTTTTGACCTTTATGGTGCGTAATTCTAAGTTTTCAAATAACTCTTCAAATGAACAGGTCCATATAGGTTGTAAATCTCACATTAAATATTTATGATGAACTTGGGATGACTCAAGGATTCTAATGACGATTAATTGAACGATTCATATACGGGTAAGTTTAACCAATTTCAATTATTTGAGGTTTGTTAAAAAATAAATAAAAATAAAAACTGTAACATAGTATGGTGTGGTAAAAGAAATTCAAACCCAAATTTGAGGTTTGGCCACTCCAAATTACTAACAAACTGCATAAATAGTGACTATAAAAAGGCCATCACTGGAGTTATTTTCATAAGTGTCCTCGTATGCTTAACAAATTTTAACTTGTTACATACGAAATCGAGAACACTAAAGGCTCTTTGTAACTCAGATAATTTGAACCCACTAAACAAAGAAAATCCAAGTCTTTTGTGATTTCATAATATTCAACATCAGTAAACAAAACTCTGATTACACAAAATCTCTACCTAGCAAAGAAACTGGAGGTCCAAAAAGGAAGGAAACTTTGACTAGATTAGTTGACATTGAAAAACACTGAATGACAAGTGAACTAAGGAACAGGATAGGACTTGTTATTGCACATACACTTGTAAGCCATTGGACATGTCTCAGACTCAGCGACTGACGCGCAAACAAAGCTCACCATCACTAGTCTGCATGGTCTGCAAGATCCACAAGCATGGGAGCAATCTGGCAAGCTCGACCCTGCCACTTGGAGTGTATCTGGCCCCCTAACTCTTTTATAATTAATTGACTCTTTATCCACTAATCCTTCTCTAATTGTACTCTTCAGATGGCGCCCATGATGACCTGCATGAGAAGATTAATGTTTAATCAGAAAAAATGTAAAAAAAGAATTAACCACAGTTTACAACAAAAAGGTTTAATTGAGAGTAATCTTACGTGAATGAGGCCGAGCTATGCGCCTTGCGGACATGGTTTGTGGAAGTAAAAGAAGAAGAACAAGAAATGTAGCTACACAAATTGAACCCTTCATAGATTATGTTTAATTTTGCTTCTTTTTTCTTCTTTCGTTTCGGAAAATCGTAGGGATTTGCAAGCTAGAGAGGCTTTTGGGAGATTGAGAGAATGGTAAGAAGAAAAGGGTCGAAGGAGATGAATATATAGAGGGCATTAAGGATTGGAGAAATGAGAAAATTAAGAAGAAAGTATTGAAGCATATCACAGGAGAAAAGTGGTACGAAAAGAAAAGGTCACATGAAAGATACAAGATTGCATGCTTACAGTAACAGATAGTCACAGGACTCATCAAGCTTTGCCTTTTGTGGTTCCATGGAAGAATGGTGATATGGCTAATTGCTCAAGAATTTACGAAATTAAAATGGTGCTTTTTTTTTACGTGAACTACTCTGACTCGGACTTTGGAAACGCATACATAGCCATAAATGCAAGCTTTATTAATTAATGTATTATTGTAAAAATGAAAGTTGAAGGCTTAAGATTGATAATAAATTTTGCACTGTGGATCTGTTGTGACTGCCATTAATAACATTTCCTCCGCTTGCTGGATAGGTCGTACCCAGTGCACAAGGCTCCCGCTTTACGCAGGGTCTGGGAGAGGTGAATGTCGGCTAGCCTTACCCCCATTTATGGAGAGGCTGCTCCCAAGTCTCGAACCCGAGACCTACCGCTCATGGGCGAAGGCGCTTGCTGGATAGGTAGCTGCTATATTTGTTGGACTTGATAAGCTACTCTATTGTTCTTCATGGAACGTCTCAAGTAAAGCCCCTTTGTTTGGTGGTGGCTTGTACTGCATATCCTTGTATATATATTTCGTCTCAATATGTGGATTGACCTGTACAAATCTCGCCAAACAGGAGAAAGAGTAGTTAAATTTCAAAGACATGGGCCAATAGTTCAACACTGATAGTCCTTAACTTAATTGCATACTAGCCCAGTAGGTTTTTTATTTTGTCACAAAAAACATTGGCATATTTGGATAGCGAATTATTATTAGCACTTCAAAAATCTTATTTGAAACTCCAAACTTTCTATAATTAGAAAGAAAAATACACTTGTGAGGAGTGTAGAATGAGACTTTTGGAGTGCTAATTAACAGTGTGAATGAGATATATATATATATATATATAGGGAATTGTTATTAACATTCCAAAAATCTCATTTGGCATTCCAAACTTTCTATAATTAGAAGAAGAAAAAAATACACTTGTAAAGAGTGTAGAATGAGGTTTTTAGAATACTAATAATATAGGATTTGGATCCCATCAATATCCAAATTGTAGGGATCATCACATCCTAATCATTTATCGTACATCGTGCGGTTATAAATCATTTGAATTTTTTTATTTAAAATTAAACACAAATAGTACCTAACGAAAACTGGTCGCATGATGTATAATAAACGATTAAGATATGAGGATCCCTAGAATCCCACAAAGAGGATTCTCATCTATATATTCTTAAATGATGGCTCACAAACAATAGGTGTGTGCCACGTGTAATTCTGTGGTAGTACAAATACTACTAAAAGTTCCTGGTGGTTGTTGTGAGTTTTGACTTGCTGTTTCAAACGTTACAATTGGCTTTGCTATGGAGAGGGTGGTGGCGCCAGCCAAAAACGAAAAAATGAGGAGCAGTCAACGGTTACTTTTATTTTATTGATTCAAACCATAAGAAAACGTGTAAAATCAACAATAAAATTCTTACTGATTCTTGTATATAAGACCAAGTGAACTGCAAGAGCAACCTAAAATCTTCTCCGGCTCAACAATTAATCTCATCATTAGCGTCCACAGTTAAGCACATATACAGAGCCATGGACGGCCTAGTCCGCAGCGCCACCGCCAGCATGAGCCGGCGGTTTGATGTTTATAATTATGAGCCGTTGGATCAACTGAAGAGAACTGCAAGCAGGCATGGTGCTGGAAGGAGGAGATCGATGTCGTTTAAGCGTAAGAAGGTGGCACATGTTCCTTTGAGAAATAATGAGGATCGAGCCAGGCAAAAGCGCCAGATATTCCTAAACTCCTACAAGTTTGAATCACCTGATAAATCGCAGCGCTCAAGATGTATGAAGGTAAACATGGTGGCTCGTAAGGTTAAGACTGTTGTGGTGAAGTTCGTGTCGTCATTCTTTCGAATTGGAGCTTACCGATCTTGTAACTGTCGTCAGGCCATCCGCGCCTCCTCTCCAAATCCACGGAGAAATTAAATCTTTTCTTTCTTTTTTCATGGTATGAAATTGGGGTAATTAGGAATCTCGACTACTAGAGTAAGTATTCTTACATCTGGAAGTTATAAATCCTGAGTACCACCGGCTTCATTGTAGGAAGTGTTTCTTAAGTGAATGTTACTCATATATTAATTACGAGTTAATTATCAGAGATGGTTGAAAATTCATTGGCAATTGGTTATTTCGAAGAGTAGGGAGATTATTTTTGACAAACAATAGCGTTAGTGAATTAAATTGTTAAATGTAAATGGAGAAGGAAATTGGTGGATATCAGACCTGCACCAAGGTACATAGATATAAGGAAAACTAATGAAAATAACTTGAAAATTTTGAGTTTTAACGAAAATGACAAAATAAAAGGTAAAGTGAATAGTATCAAGATTGACTTTTTTGGGTAAAAATGTAATTTTTCGTTAAAGTGAATAGTACCGGATGTTTTTCGTTAAATTTTCTAGATATATATTATTGTTGTCATATCCCAAAATTTATAATCCTTCTGTAAAAGCTTACATGCACCCTAACTGAAATTTAGTTTTGCTTACAGACTTGATTAGAACTTCGGTAGTACTTTTGCACAGCACAATTTTTTTTTTTTTCCTTTAATATCAGGCCGCTGCTTTCTACCCTTTTTTTCTCTCTTTTTTAAACTATACCGTAATCTACCTAAAAGCCACCTGTCCCATTTCTAACCAAAATGTTGGCAGCTAATCCCGGACAGGTGGTGGAAACTACTAATTAAACTGGAGTATGGTAGGGGGTAGAGGGAATTTCGGTGGAACAGTGAAATGCGTTTAGATTAAAAAGAATACCAAAGGCAAAAGCATCTTGCTGGGCCGACATTGACACTAAGAGACGAAAGTTAGAGGAGCAATTGGGATTAGATACCACAATAACCCTAGCTGTAAACGATGGATACTAGGCGCCCTTAAGTGAAATTTTAAATGGGCAACTGTACTTCACTAAAAACATAATAAATGTTTAGTTCTAATAACCACAAATGCTAATAAGCACATAACACGCCACTTAGTACTGTGGTCTATTGGTATCCCTCTTTACTTGTAAGTGAGAGGTCTTAGGTTTGATTATCACCAAAAGCGAATTTGAATCACATTATTGCTAACCCATTGTGAGGCTTAACCACTCTCCCGCCCTTTACTGTAGATAATATCGTTTGTTAAAAAAAAAAAACATAACACATCAAACATTAAAAAGAAATCATCTACTATTTTCTAATTGAAGAAAAATAACAAGTCACAGTTATAATAAATTGTTTTCCACCAATGCTGTAAATCACTATTTGGATTATAGAAAAATCATTTGGTTTATGTATGTTATAATAAATTGTTTTCCACCAATGTAGTAATCGCTATTTGGATTATAGGAAAATCATTTGGTTTATGTATGTAATTTTGATTAATTGTAACTAACAATGAAGTTATCCAGTTCAAATAACATTTGCATTCGTTACAACAAAAGGGAGTAAATTTAGCGGATTATTTTGAGCCTAAAATAGAAAATTGGTAGGTGAAACCCACAAAACCCGTTTTGACGCACAATTACAATACAAGGCCAGCAGGAGTCAAATGTTTGACGATGCCCACACATACATAACGATGTCCTTAACCAATCGAAATCACCATATATATCCCTACGAAAATCCCACCTCCTCTTCCTCACATTGACGTCCACCTTCGGTCTCCAGCCATCATCCACCCGACCATCATTCAATCGAAGAAGAAGAAAGATCAAGTACCTCTCTTTTTTCTTCGATCTCCAAACTTACCTAGGTTGTACGTCCAATCTATGCATGCATATGCGTGCACATTAAGTAATTGAAGGGTTAAGTAGGTAATACGTACTTGATTCAATTGCTATCGCAACCTAGGTAGTCGTACCATCGAAATTTATCATATATTATGCACCCCGGCCCCAATCACCCTCCGCCGTACGTGATGCTCCAAGATCAAGGCCATCCAGGTCCCCATGGCCGCAATCCTCCTCGCTTTAATGGCCAATACCGTCCCAATGGGCACCGCAAAAGCAGTTGTCTGAGATGCTACTGTTGTTGTTATTGTTGCATCTTCATAACCCTAGTGGTGATCATTGCAGCCGTGGTCATCAGCCTAATAATTATCAATCCCAGTGTGCCCAAATACAGTATTAATGACTTCTCTGTCAAGGCATTCAACGTCACCCCTGATTTCAACCTCCACGCGCAATTTATGGTCACGGTAAAAGCTGTGAATCCCAACAAAAAAATCTCCATTATATATGAGAAGGGCAGCACCGTGCAGCTCAAGTATTCCGGGATGAAGCTTTGTACCGGGGTGGTCCCACATTTTCGTCAACCGACGAGCAATACAACCATGATCAACGTGGATTTGAACGGAGACTTGAAAGGGAGTGACTTTCAGGGATCCATAGGGGAGTCACTTATGAAGAAAATCAAGAGTGGCAGGGTCCCTTTGACTGTTTCAGTTAGGGTACCGGTCAATGTAGGGCTTGGGAATTACAATATGTTGCTGAATCCAATCGGGATTTACGTCGATGCCTCCATGGTTGTCAACAATTTGTCCCAGCCAGATAAGAAAGTACAGATTTCAGACACTAAATATGACTTTAATTTTGGATTTAAGTTCAAAAAATGATAATCCACATGAATGTCATAACCTTGATTTCAGAAAAAATGTGCAAGGTAAAGCATTAGGCAAGTTATTTACTAGCTCGCTAGCTGCTTAATTTCTGCTGAGGGAAGATCGATTATATGGTTAGTTAATGTGTGGTTCTTGCACACAACAAAATTTCCCTCCTTTTTCTTTCAAATGTAGATAAATTGCATATCAATTAAGAAAATTTCATGTTTAAAGAGTTTGTGTAAAGGGAGACTTTGGATGTGGTCCCTAGCTTTAACCGAAATCTTGTTGGTTTTCAGTTTTTTATTGAAGCCCTTGATATTAATGTAATAGTGTATTTCTAAGTAGGCTATTATATTTTTTAAATAAAAAATTGAAATTTGTAATTGACTATATTAATTAAGGAGATTTTAAATTAAACTCATAAGGGTAATTTGTGGGATTAAAAATATTAAAGGTATTATGCTCTCCAATGTATTGTATCTATATATAAACATGAGTACATTCATCAAAATTAACCAAAAAAATATTGTACCAAAACATGGGTACATTTTTCAAAACCCATAAAAAAAGATATTAGGTTTAATAACATTATTAATTTTCTGCGATTAAACTTGACATGGATAGTAGTGGATACATTCTTAAATCAACGAAATAAAATGTACCTATATAAGTTAAAAAAATGGTTTAGAAAAAAAATTAATTGATTTTATATAAAACATGGGTACGTTTTATATTTAAAAAAATGATACATTTTACATATAACAAATTAATATATTTAAAAATGGTACATTTAAGATTAAAAAAATTAAAAAAAATTGTATGAAAAGGTGCATTTAAGATTAAAATATTAAAATATTTTTATAACGAAACTCACTTTATCAAACTTATTCTAATTTATTTTTTTATTTGGAAATGTTTTGAATTGAAAATTAATCTAAACTACATATGAACGAAACTCACTTTATCAATCAAAAGAGGGTGCCAATACATTTTTGTCTTTTATCATAACAAAAAAGTTGAAAACATTAACATAATTTCACAAAGCAAAATTATGGCATCACCTGTAGGTAATTTTATCATCTCTAATTTAAAAAAAATAAAAAATAAAAAACCCTCTCACAATCTCTCTCCCACTCCCACGTCCTCTCTCACTTCTTCCTCTCTCCTTCAATTGTAAAAATAGAAGTAGAAATTTCACACACTTTTTGTGTGGGCATATACCAGTTGGGAGTTTAATACAGGTGTGGGTATTAAAACTCTATACCAGTTACTAATCTTTTTTCAAATTACTAATTTTTATTTTAAAAAATTATGTAACTTACATGTAAATTCATTAATACATTAAGGATAGGGGATTTCGACCAAATATTAAAACTAATAAGGTTTTAGTCAATAGACACAAGTAAATAAGGATTAGATACTAATTTTTCCTTGTGCAAATACGTTTTTTGGACGTACGTGCATGGTTTATCGGTGCTTTTGTTCAAGAACCACCTTGACCAAATTTTATTTGCTCTCTGTGGGTGCATGCATTGGTATAGATAAGTGTTACAGCACTAATGTAGGAAGGCTCATGGGGTCAGAAACATGTAATTAATTAACAGATCATGAATAGTTTTGCACATATTTTTTCCCTTCAAATCGAGAGGAAATTGATCATGAAAACAGGGATTGGATCAATCGGATTGTAAACCATATACAATAACCTATTTGTGTCAAATTTGAATATGCGGGTTCGATCCCCACCAAGTTCCTTCTCACTTAACATCTAATCCACGTTGTTCTACTTAAAAACACTCGTTATGATGAACGTCATATTTGACCTCTCCCTAGCTATTGGGATTCATCAATAATTTTCAACACACACGTAAGGGTCGTCATTTGGTTGTAGGGCTGCAGACGGTCGGCTGGAACTCGATGGGTGAAAGCCCGGCCCAAACCATTAACGATTCTACAAATATGTGAGATATATATATATATATATATATATATTTTTTTTTTTTTTTTTTTCCCAAAAGAAATGTGTATATAAGTATTGTCCTTATTGTCAGATATGTTTATGTTATCAAATAGTAAACAATACATTCCGATGCTATTTAATAAGGGGTGTGCTATCCACACACCTTATTTTACTTCTCACACACCTTTTGATCATTTATATTCATTGATCTTCTTCAATTTATCCGATTCGACGAACGAAAATTAAAAATGTGTGTGAGAAGTAAAATGGGGTGTGTGGATATCACATCCCTTTAATAATATGATTTAGTGATTTTTTTTTTCACTTGTAAATGAGAGGTCTTAGGTTCAATTGCCGTCAAAGTCAAATTTGAACCACATTATTACTAGCATATTGTGAGGCTAGCCCACCCCCTTTTCTTAGTATAGATAATATCGTTTATTAAAAATACATTCAGACAACACGATGTTTAAAAACAACATAACTAAAGACATTTTTGGATCAACTTGTGCAGGTTATTTTTCTTTCTTTTTGCTGGGATTGGTTTAGTTGTTTGTTCATGTTTGGGAGATCCTTGTGTAGTCGGGTCAGTCCACCTTACCACTTGTAAGTGCAAGGTTACATTTCTTGTTTGTCGGAAAACGTTTCAATGAATGAGATATAAAATACACATCTTGGTTGGAACATGAAGATTTAATTATTTTTCTTACATCTTTATGAGCTGGACCCAACTAGTTAAATGGAAAAAAAGTACATCGGATACCAAATTTATATTTTCTCCTTTGGAGCAAAACTCATATGCAACTTCTTTTGAAAATGTAAAATAAGATATAAATATGACTTTTACATCTCAAATGTACTATAAAAATAAAATAAAAACTGGGGAAGTGGACCTTTGCAAACATTACTGTTACGTACATGCTACAACAAAGTTGGTTAGACTTGATACTACACAAGAAATCAGCAAATAAAATTCACAGAACAGAAGGAAAACTCAATCTATTTGCAAGCAAACGAGATCAAAATAACGTAAACCATGACTGCTACCGATACTATATCAACTACGTTGAAGGATATGAGAAAAGAAGAGAAAAGAAAGAAGAAAAGAGGAATGGAATCCATTCCAATGTGCGGAGTGCACTAATGATTATCAAAAAAAGAAACACTACAAAAAGAATGTTGTGAGAGTAAGCAAGCCACCTTTTTAGTTATCTTATATATTGAGCATCATTATCCATCATTGGAGCTTTGCCTTTATCCACCACGCCATGCTTTGCTCGCCCAACTCAACACTGCAGGTCTGCACCTTATTGCATGCCATCTCTCATCATGTATGCAGTATGCCCCTGTGGCATCAGTTGGTCACCAGCTCAACATTTACTCATAAATTACTAGTTTTAGAGAGAGAGAGAGAGAGAGAGAGAGAGAGAGAGAGAGAGAGGTGGGTTTGATTACCTATTCCTGGAAAACAACCAACCACGCAGCCATTTTGTGCTTTTGTTTAGGTGAAGCAGCTTCTGCGTTTACATATTATTTTTCTTTTATCACTTTTATCCGACAAGGAGGGGAATGAGCAGATGGGGTCCAATGTCAATGCGTGTGTGTTAAGGTTGTACCCAAAATACAATAATGTTCAACTTATACAAATTACAAGGGTCAGTGCACAAACTACCCCAACCATACCAATTTTTTGGCTCAATAATGTTATGAGTAATACCTCTTTCTATTGTACATTTTATTCGCGGTTAAAAGATTTCTCTTGTTCTTTCAAAAAACGAAAAAAACAAAAACTCACACTTGGAACATTTTATTTTTATGTTTTTTATGTTTTTTCAACGATATTTTAATGTATTAGAGAGTCATTAAGTGTCTTTTTTGGAACATCCGATAAAATTAGAACGATACACATAGTCAAGTTAAGCCACACAATAGGCCAAAAGCACAACTTCTACATCTTTTTTAAATTTTCATGTGAGTCGAACCTGAGAATTTTTAATAAACACCTACTATTTAAAGAGCACAATTTCATTACACAATATTTTCATCTTTATCTGAAATTTGGAATCTTAATGGCTATATAAACTTTCTGCTATCGAAGTTTCTGTAACCAATTTTCGTCCAATTCGTTTTTTTTTTTCTTTTCAGCCCGTGTTTATATAGCTTTTGTGTTTCTGTGATTTTGCCACTTTCTAATTGATTCATGACCACGTTGTTCTGGTTTCTTGGAGCCAGCTGACTTCATTCAAGATGAATTTTCAGAGATTGTTGTGATTTGGTTTGATCAACAATTTCTTTGTTTTCAAAAGAAAACAAGGAAATATACCTAGATAAGTTTTTTTTTTTTTAAATAGAACCTTTTCTGCTAAAAAGAACAAATTTACAATTAAAATTAAAATCTTTTTTACTATTATTATGTTTGGAAGTGCTTTTAAAATAGTTGAAAAGTAAAAATGTTTTTGGTACCAAATTTTAGCAAAAATGCAAGTAAATCTTAGAAAATCTCTTAAAGTGCTTCTTGCAAGAAGAATAATTGTTGTAGGAAGCACTTTCAAACAAGTCTATAACATGTTTTATTGTCTATTTAGTGTGCATATCAATAAAATAAATCAAAACCATAATCCATAGTAAGTCATTGATCAAGAAGCTTCAATTGGGGTTTTTTTTACTTCTCATTTTGTGTCCTCTTGGAGTCATTAAATGTCATCATTATCCAATCTTTTTTCCTAGGTTGTCTCTTCAGTGATCAACAATGAGCCTTTTTCCTTTTCAACACACAATTATCAAAAGGAAAGAGTTATTAGCACTCCAAACATCTCATTTTGCAATCATCACAAATGTACTTTTCTTTCTAAATATATAAAGTTTGAAGTATAGAATGAGAATTTTGGAATGACAATAACAATTTCCTTATCAAAATTATATTAAAAAGGGGACTTTTGCAAAAAAAATTTAGCCCCATGTCCAGTTGCCTAGTCTCTATTAACGAGGATTTCCGTAGTGGCCTCACAAGTGTCCCGAAAGACTTGCAGTGGGAGCAGTTTCTCAAGGAGACCAACAACTGTCTCGTGCCTCCACTCTCTCTCTCTCTCTCTCTCTCTCTCTCTCTCTCTCTCTATAAACCTTCTCAAACCCACTCCTAAAGTGATCAACCCAACTGTCATGGTGGTTACTAGTTCTTCAACTTCTCTCCTTCACATTTTCTCTCTTTCCCATTATTCCTCCAAGCTTTAGCTGCAAATGAAGATGGTTTTCATTGCTACCATTTTGTTCTTTCACCTTCAAAACAGCCCAAAATTTGTTCTGCGATTGTAGAAATGTTT